CTTTCAGCGCGGGGCCCGGGGTGAAGTCGGGAGGACGTGGACGTGGACTAGATCGTCTGCCACCCCGTCGCGGGAGCCGAGGCAGCCATGCACGCGGCAGCAGGGCGCCCTGGCGAGGCGGCGAGCCAAGCCGAGCGCGCGAAGCACGCGCGCTACCCCGGCGAGGCCTCTCGGGAAACTCTTTGGGGCACTCTTGGGGACACTCTTGGGGCAATGCGCTGGGCGTTGCGGCCCTTCCAGAGCGCTCTGGAGTGCCCGGAGAGCGTTATGCAACGCCCCAGAGAGACTCGACGCGGCCCCCCAAGAGGCCCCTGCCCCCTATCGTCGCAAGCACTTGGTTCGCGCAAGGGTGGAACAAACGAGGGGAATCGAAAGGGGGGGGGGGCTGGCTCAGGTGGGGAGCATCGGCCTGGAATCGACATGCATCACACACACACACAGGTCTGCGATAGGTCGCCGAGAGATCGAGACCGAACGTTGCTGGGCAGATGGGGGGACAGAGACCTGATCGGCGATATTTGGGCAATGGGCTGTCGAGGTCATCCTGGGCGCCCGTGAGAGAAAGACCCCCGCACATCTCGGAATAGCTTCGCCAACCACCTTCCAGCGACACGTTGCGGTCCTCAGACGGCGGACTTATGTCGCACAATGGGGAGAGAAAGCACCAGGACCCAACAGCTCCCCACTCCACAAAAGTATTTCATATGAAATATACAAGACGAAAGGACGGGCGGGTTCACCTACTTTGCGATTGGCGTCGGGCTAGATACATACACATATATGTTTTTATCGACCGTGATGCCAACACACACACACACACCTATAGATACATGTATCTGCCCAACCTCATGCACACATGTATGTGTATGTATATGCATGTATGTATATATATATATATATATACACCAGCGTCACTGTGTTTTCATCGGACACAAAATTCAATTCCCCACCAATCTCACTATATGTCGGACCCCCCCCGGGAACACCTCGAGAGGAACTAGGCCGCTGAAGACCTCCAGGGAGGGGGGGAGGTGGAGGAGGCGGAAGGGAAGGCAAGACCAGTCAGCATCGAATCGGGAAGTCGCATCGCATCGGGGCGCGCGTCAGATCGGGCCCCATCGGCACAGGGCCAGAATCGACTCGGATCGGCTGCACCCGGAAGCACAACAACGCCCTTCAAACATCGGACAACATCGGGCCGTCGGAACATCGAAACCGAATCGTATCGAACTGGCCGGGGTCGATATCGAGTCAAACCGACACGATCAGAACGGACCAGGAGGGGGAGATACCCCCATGGGTCACGTGGGTCAGAGCGGCCCGGCGGCGCGGTGCCGCGCGCGCGACTCTGGCCGTGCTGCACAGAACTACTCGCTCGGGCAGCTGCCGAAAACCTGCCCCGCAAAGCTGCATCCCAGGATCGAGGGCCGAGGGTCGAGGATCGATGGATGGGGATCGAGGGTCGAGGGTCGAGGGTCGAGGATCGAGGATCGAGGGTCGAGGGTCGAGGATCGAGGATCGAGGGTCGAGGATCGATGGATGGGGATCGGGGATCGAAGGTCGAGGGCCGAGGATTGAGATGGGCTCAACCCAAAGGCTGGGTAGTCGAAGGCCAGACTGTCAGATTGGATTGGGCCCCAAGGGCCAATCTGGCCCGGCCAAACTGGATGATTTGGGTTATTCGCCAGACTGGATTCGCGTTGGCTCCCTCGCCAGATTGCCCCCGTTTGCCAGATTGGGCCTGCCAGATTGGCGCCAGATTGGCTTCGACTACTCAGAAAGAGGCGGATCCTCCCTGCAGGACACGACGGAGCCCAGCGTGCCAAAGTGATATCACCATCAAGCGCCCCTGGGGCCGTTTCGCGACTTCTGGCCAGCGACGCACTCTCCTGACCTCATTATCAAAGTTGAAAACGATACCAGTATACATTGTCTAGCCCGCATGCGATTCCAAATCATGTTGCGCGGACTCAGCCAACCGGCTCCGTCCAGGGCCCACAGAGCAGGAAACAACCGAAGCAAAAGCTGAGCCCAAACGGGCTCGACTGCCGGGCGCATTACATCAAGGAGCACGTCGCCCCCACCCGAATTCGCACGAACAAGGCACCTAGGTGTTCCCTTACGACACCCGTAAATGAGACTCCATGCGTTACATAATAACTCAACGTTTCCAACTATAAGATAACGACAACGTTGACCTACTCGTCGCATCCTTATCGGGGCGCGGGGCGCCAGGGCGGGGCGACGGCGGGCAGTCCCGCGCCTGCGTCTCTGGCTGCGCCGTGGCCGGCTGGTTGCGGGCAGCGGGCGCCGCCGAGGGCTGGCGGGGCCGGGGCGCCTGTGGGGCTCCTCCTCCTCCTGGCTGCGTGGCTCGGTGCCTGCGCCATCGGGCCTCCGCGGCCCCACCGCAGGCACGAGGAGCAGTGGTCTCACGTCGGTCTTGTCCGCGGTGTCCTGGGCGTCGGGTGCCTTGGCGTAGGCACCTCTCTGTGCACGCGCTTGTCATCTCTGTAGGGGCGCAGGTGGCGGTCTGGGAATCTGGGACCCTCGCCCGTGGAGGGACGGCCCTGCAGTCGGCACTCTTTGACGCGATGGGCGAGAGGTGAGGCCAGGAGTGTCTGGGCTCTATCTTGCTGGGGAACCTGCGCCAGCGTATCGAGTGCCCAATGCCGAACGGGCCGAGGTAACACAACTTGAATGGCGCGCCCCTGTGGTGCGCAGGAGGTTGCTGCTCCAGGCAAACGGTGTGGCTGCTTGGTGGTCTGGTCTGGACAAGCGCGCAGATTAACAGACCAACGTCGCCTACAATGTAGTAGCGCACCACGCCGTCACAGGCTGCACCTGCACAGTTTGCCCGCATTTGGAACATTTGGAACACCGCGAGCTGGCCATGTTGTGAAGCGAGCAAAGCTAGTGAGCATTTTTCCCAACCAACGTGTGTTGTTGGGTCCTCGTTTTGAAGAGACGGTCCCCGCGTCTCCTCCTCCTTCCTCCTCCCTCCTCCCCTCCTCTCAACATCATCATCATCATCATCATCATCATCATCATCATCATCATCATCATCAGCATCATCATCATCAGCAGCATCATCATCATCATCATCGTCATCGTCATCGTCATCATCGTCGTCATCAGCGTTTCGTGGTCCCATTGGGGCTCTGCCGAAGGTCCCAGTGGCACAGTTCGCATGCGTCCCCGCCACTCATTTCGGCACACCCCTCACACGTTTCGAGGCCCCATAGGAGCTCCGCCGAAGGTCCCAGTGGCACAGTTCGCACGCGTCCCTGCCACTCATTTCGGCACACCCCTCACACGTTTCGTGGCCCCATAGGAGCTCCGCCGAAGGTCCCAGTGGCACAGTTCGCATGCGTCCCCGCCACTCATTTCGGCACACCCCTCACACGTTTCGTGGCCCCATAGGAGCTCCGCCGAAGGTCCCAGTGGCACAATTCGCATGCGTCCCCGCCACTCATTTCGGCACACCCCTCACACGTTCCGTGGCCCCATAGGAGCTCCGCCGAAGGTCCCAGTGGCACAGTTCGCATGCGTCCCCGCCACTCATTTTGGCACACCCCTCACACGTTTCGTGGCCCCATAGGGAGCTCCGCCGAAGGTCCCAGTGGCACAGTTCGCATGCGTCCACGCCACGCATTTCGGGACACCCCTCACACGTGTCGTGGCCCCATGATAGCTCCGCCGAAGGTCCCAGTGGCACAATTCGCATGCGTCCCCGCCACTCGTTTCGGCACACCCCTCACACGCTTCGTGGCCCCATAGGAGCTCCGCCGAAGGTCCCAGCGGCACAATTCGCATGCGTCCCCGCCACTCGTGTCGGCACACCCTTCACACGTTTCGTGACCCCACGGAAGCTCCGCCGAAGGTCCCAGTGGCACAGCTCGCATGCGTCCCCGCCACTCATTTCGGCACACCCCTCACACGTTTCGTGGCCCCATAGGAGCTTCGCCGAAGGTCCCAGTGGCACAGTTCGCATGCGTCCCCGCCACTCATTTCGGCACACCCCTCACACGTTTCGTGGCCCCACGGAAGCTCCGCCGAAGGTCCCAGTGGCACAATTCGCATGCGTCCCCGCCACTCATTTCGGCACACCCCTCACACGTTTCGTGGCCCCACGGAACTCCGCCGAAGGTCTCAGTGGCACAGTTCGCATGCGTCCCCCGCCACTCATTTCGGCACACCCCTCACACGTTTTCGTGGCCCCCTAGGGAGCCCCACCGAAGGTCCCAGTGGCACAGTTCGCATGCGTCCCCGCCACTCATTTCGGCACACCCCTCACACGTTTCGTGGCCCCACGGAAGCTCCGCCGAAGGTCTCAGTGGCACAGTTCGCATGCGTCCCCGCCACTCATTTCGGCACACACCTCACACGTCTCGTGGCCCCATCGGGAACTCAACCGAAGGTCCGAGTGGCACAATTCGCATGCGTCCCCGCCACTCATTTCGGCACACCCCTCACACGCTTCGTGGCCCCATAGGAGCTCCGCCGAAGGTCCCAGTGGCACAGTTCGCATGCGTCGGCGTTTCGTGGCCCCATATGAGCTCCGCCGAAGGTCCCAGTGGAACAGTTCGCATGCGTCCCCGCCAATCATTTCGGCACACCCCTCACACGTTTCGTGGCCCCATAGGAGCTCCGCCGAAGGTCCCAGTGGCACAGTTCGCATGCGTCCCCGCCACTCATTTCGGCACACCCCTCACACGTTTCTTGGCCCCATAGGAGCTCCGCCGAAGGTCCCAGTGGCACAATTCGCATGCGGCCCCGCCACTCATTTCGGCACACCCCTCACACGTTTCGTGGCCCCATAGGGAACTCCACCGAAGGTCCCCGTGGCGCAGTCCGCATGCGTCTCCCTCACCCAGTACAGCGTTTCATGGCCCCATACGGAGCTCCACCGAAGGTCCCCGTGGCGCAGTCCGCATTGTGTTGTTCGTTTTCATTCGCGTCGTGTACCACGCCACCCATTTCGGCACACCCCTAGCACGGCTCGTTGCCTCATAGGGATCGCCACTGAAGAAATGAATCACAATTGCGGTACTCATACCTGCATATGGTTGGGTCCTTCGTCAGGCTGATTTTTATTCTGCGTTTCGACATTGGGCGGAAAGGGAAGGAGGGGGGGTCGGGTCTGACTCCAGACCTCTGCCTAGTGCAACTGTTTGAAAGAGTGCTGCCGTTGGGGGAGACTCCACCCGCTCGAAACAGGCGCCAAAAAAAAGCCAAGATCTACTCCAGGGGGGGGGGGGAGGGGTTGGGGGCCCGCGCCGATCAGCAAAACAGTGAATAAAAACGAATACCTACATGAAACCACAGCCTTGGGTCCCTCCGCGCCTGATCCACATCTCTGTAGCAGCTAGACGGGCCCACAGTGGCCCGTCTAAGCACGCGGCTGCTACGTTCACTATGCAACACACGTTACGTGGGTGCGGGCGTAAATGCGCACGGTGCCGGTGTTTAGGCAAAGCCGGGAGGTCACCTAACTGCTCAGCCACGCGGATTGCTTTGCGCTGACGTGTGCTGCCAAACACGCTTTTGGACAATCAGGGAGGGCACGCGTTCAGTTGTCTGCTGGGTGGTGCGCTCGAACTATAGCGTAGCTTTTCATGACGGCTTGGACGAATGATTGTGTCTCAAATGTGGTTAAACTGCCGAAAGAGCAACATTGCTCAAGAGAGCGCGATGCCCGCAAAGAATATATACGGCGAATCTGGGTCGATTGATGGCCCATCGTTCTCAGCAAAGCCGATATACTGAGAAGAGTGCAATTGCGAATTCATATCCCTCCTCCACCCTCGAGAACTTCCTCTTACACCCCTCCTACCTGAAGATGCCCGAGGAGCTTCCTGGACTCCCCTAGAACCCAGACCACCGACGCCATGTTTTTGTCGTAACGTCGGCCCCCAGAGCTCTCGACCGACTCCTCGGGGCCGCATCGTCATCCCAAGTCTGTTTTTGCTGACGATCCTAGGGTTCAGCGAGGGCCCCCAGAGGCCGAAAATAGCGAAGAACCTCCCGTCGTGATCTCTGCATGACTCGAGGGGGGGGGTTGGGCACTGAGAGGCCTCCTCCTCCCACTCCTCCTCTTCCTCCTCCTCCATCCCTTCTCCTTATAGATAACTCCTCCCTGTCGCACCCCGAGGCCAGTATTTAGGGCGGGCCGGGCGTTTCGCCTGAGACTTTCTCACCATTTATGATTCTGGAACTTAAAAAGTGACAACCGTTTCGCAGATGGAGGGCGGATGGTCTTCAAAATGCGGCTTTCGCCTCAGCGCCGCGCACGTTCGCTTCAAACTTTTGCAAGAGTTTCATGGATTGAGGGCGGGTTGTTTTCGAAAAATGTGGCTCTCGCCTCAGCGCCGCGCGCATTCGCTTTCAAAATTTGCAAGAAATTCGCGGATTGAGGGCGGTTCCTTTTCAAAATGTGGTTCTCGCCTTAGCGCCGCGCACATTCGTTCTTTAACGCAAAATTTTCACGCATTGAAGGCGGGTCGTTCTCAAAATGCGGTTTTTGCCGTAGCGCCGCGCACATTCGTTTTCAAAAACTGGCAAGCACTTCATGGATTGAGGGAGGGTCGTTTTCAAAATGTGGCTCTCGCTGTCGCGCCGCGCACATTGATTTCAACAAGTCGCAAAAGCTTCACGGATTGAGGGCGGTTCCTTTTCAAAATGTGGTCTCGCCTTAGCGCCGCGCACGTTCGTTTTCAAACATTGCAACAGTTTCACGGATGCCCATGATCAACGTACCAGAAAGGGTGTTTTGGACGGATTCAGGGTTATGCGGGTGCAACAGTTATGTTGATTCGCTGTGTTGAAGTCCCCAAAAATTGCGCTCGACTCCGGATCGTCAAGACGCAGCAGTCAGGTTGATACATGGCGTTGAAAAATCCAGAAAACCATGTTTTAGCATGCTTCAAGATCTTCAAGCGGTTGTCTTCCAATGGGGCAATTCCCTCAATGGAAGTGAACCGCTGTGGGGGCTCATGAAGAGGGAGCTTGGAGGGAGTGTTAATTCCAACATCGTTGATGACTCTTGCTTTTACACTGGTCCTCCTCCTCCTCCTCCTCCTCCTCCTCCTCCTCCTCCTCCCCCTTCCCCCTTCCTCCTCCCCCCCCTCTTCCTCGGCATGCCATCGGATGAGCCCTGGGGCGTCCGAAGGCCAGCGCGAGGGCAGCAAAACATGGCGAGAGGCAGAAGCACTGGCCCCAGCACGCAGCCTCCGCTTGCGCGGCAGCCCGCGCGCTGCTCGATCGACCGCACCTCCCTCCTTCTCGTCCAGGCGCCTGCTCCTCCCCTCCCTCCTTCTCACCTCCCCCCTCCTTCTCACCCCCTCCCCCCTCCTCCCTCCTACCATCAAGACACCACTCGCCTCCTCCCTCCTTCTCGTCCAGGCGCCTGCTGCTGGGGCTGGGGCTGCTTCGCAGGCTGCTGCGGCCTCGGCCCCGGAGCCAGAAGAGCGCGGCGGCCACGGTGGCGGCGGCGCAGGCGGTGTGACGGCCGCCAGGTCAAAGAGAATGATCCAGCTCTTGAAAGGCGGAGAACAATATAGGGTAGGATGTTGGGCCATCCAAGGCGCCTCTCTCAATGCGGCTGGGGAGCTCCCGCGAGGTGCGATTGGGAAGAAACCTAGGGTTTCCTGAACGCGAGAGTTTCTTGACGCCTGCGGGAAACCATCGCGGAACGCGCGGAGCGAAGACACCCAAGGTGCACTGACGAAAAACATCAAATTTCTTGGTACGCGCCCCCACTGTAAGATGTTCTACCGGACGCCTGTCTCAATGCGGCTGGGGAGCTTTACACCACTCTGGTGGCACGTCGGGGGCAGAAAGCGTGACGCCCGCCCTGGGACAGGCGCCACCCATGATGACCCAATCAATGGTATACTGCTCCTCGTCTGCAAAGTCAAGGAGAAGGGGCTTTAGCATCTGCGCGTCGCGGGGGACTCGCGCAGGGCGTCTTCGCACCGCGCCGGGCCGTGCAGTGCTCGAAGCGTCCCCACGAGGATGGGGCCGAGAGATCTGGCCGTGGCTTTTGTTCACGACGCCGCGGCGCTCCGTAAAAACGTCGGATATGCAAGCGAAGGAGAAAGGAAACGTCCACGAAGACCACCACATCTCCTCATTGCCGTGTTGCAAATGCATCCACAATAATCTGGGTCCAGACACGGCCCGCGAAGGCACTCTGGTGGTGGCTGTTCTGCCTTTTCCCGGGAGCCGGTGGTGCTGGCGGTGGCGGTATAGCCGTGGCGACGACGGCAGAGGAAGGCAAGGCATCCGTGGCGCGGGCCTGAGATCCCTACCGGGGCCCTCGGATGATGGTCCATGGCGCGAGGTGCGCGTGCGTGATGGGGTCGAAAGCTCCGGAGCCCCAGGTACAAATCCAGAGATCCCTCTGACGAGACCTCAAGAGTCATCCACTAGAACTCTGACCCAAAGCCAAAACAGGGTGGCGGGAAGACCCGAAGGGCACACCACCTCACCACAAACCACTACACCACCACCACCACCAACACCGCCATCATCACAAACTACTACACCACCACCACCACCACCACAAACACCACCACCAGCACCACAACGCACCACACCACCACCACCACTTCAAAACACCACACAGCCACCAGCACCAACACCACAAACCACCATCACCACCATAACCACCACCACCACAAGAACCACCACCTCACCACCACCACAACCTACCAGCACCACCGCCACCACCAGCACAACCTTCACAACCCACCACCATCACAACCGCCACACCACCACCACAACCCACCACACAGCCACCACCACCAGCACCACCACCACCACAACCACCACCACAAACCACCACCATCACCACAACCACCTCCACCACCACCACCGCCACCACCACCAGCACCAACACCACAGCCCACCACCACAACCACCAGAACCACCACAAACCACAACGCCACCACCACCACAACCGCCACCACCACTACCACCACCAACGCCACCACCACCACCACAACCACCACCACAAACCACCACCATCACCACAACCACCTCCACCACCACCACCACCGCCACCACCACCAGCACCAACACCACAGCCCACCACCACAACCACCAGAACCACCACAAACAACCACGCCACCACCACCACAACCACCACCACCACAGCCACCACCACCACCACATCAACACACCACCACTACCACAACAACCCACCACCACTACCACCACCACCAAAATCCACGACACCATCACCACCACCACCGCCCAAGCCACCACACCACCACTACCACCACCACAACCCACCAGCACCAGCACCACCACAAACCACCACACCACCACACAGCCACCATCACAGACCACGACACGACCACCACCACCACCACCACAAAAACCTCACCGCCACCACCACCGCCACAACCACCACCTCACCACCACCACAACCTACCACCACCACCACCACCTCCACAACCACCACAACAAACCACCACACCACCACCTTCACTCAAACCACCACCACCACCATTGTCACCTCCACCACCACAAACCACCACACCACCACCCCCACCACCAACACCACAACCCACCACCACCACAACTACCACCACCGCCACCACCACCACCAGAAACCCCACCACACCACCACCACCGCCACCACCACCGCCACCACCATCACCACCACAACCTGCCACCACCACCGCCACCACCACCACCACCACAACCTGCCACCACCACCACACCGCCACCACCGCCACAACCACCACCACCACCGCCACCACCAGCACCACAACCACCACCAACACCACAACCACCACCACCAATAACCACCACACCACCACCAGCACCACCACCACCACCACCGCCACAACCACCACCACCACCACCGCCACAGCCCATCAACAACACCGCCTCAGAGAGGCCCCAAGAGACGCCCAGGAGGCTTCACAAATGACCTTCAGCAGCCCCCGACAGCCCTCCGACGAGACCCCAAGAGGCACCCATTAGGATTCTGACAGGCACGGTGGCGGAGCGTCGTCGTTGTTGTCGTCATCGTCGTCGCAGTCTTCCTCGTCGACGCTCTCCGCCGCCGCCGCCAGCCGCCGCAGGCGCCAGCGCCGGCCCAGAAAAGGAAGCCGTCGCCTTCATCGACGCTCCCCGCCGCCGACGCCAGCCGCCGCCGACGCCGGCGCTGGTTCTGTGCCTTCGGGGGCGGCTCCGAAAGCTTCGCAGAAGGCCGGGGGGCTCCCGAGCCTTCCGAGAAGGCCCGCCCCCTTCCATTTCCCCCCCCAGACTTGCCGCCGCATCTGATGGACCACGGCACCACCGCCTCCCCGAACGCCTGCCCACCCACAACGCTGCGCGCGAGCAGTATTCTGTGGCAGCCGAGGCATGGCGCCCGATAAGCGCCCAAAAGGCCTCAAAGGGGTCCCGCAACGGTTTCGAAGAAGACCAACTGCCGCCGACGTGTCACACGTCACGGGAGGGCTCAGGCAGGACCCAAAGCACTCCACACCTCAGCTCAGTTCAGCAAGGACCCTCGAGCTCACATCCTCGGCTTGCCCACGGCCACGCCCGATCGGCACATGGCCCATAGGCAGAACCTGACATTGTAGAACATACTCGCCCTGGCAGTTTCAATGGGCTCCACGTTTCGCCTCGGAGTCGGCAGAATGGCGTAAGCCTCTTGTATAATCTATGATAGCTTAGACATGTCGCCCGATGTGATCAGACTTCTACCTGAAGCCATGTGCTGCGTCAAGATTCAAGCTACAACTGCAGCCTAGCGCAACATAAGGCTTGTCTCACCTTGTCGGTGAGGCGTTTGGGAGGAAGTCGGGTCCAGACCTGCAGCTTGTTGACGCCCACTGTAAGCAAGAATCCAAGAGTCCAGCCCGAGCTCTTACATTCTTCTTGACCGAGGAGGCGTAAATACACGACGACCTGCAGTCGAGCTTGATTGGAGAGGACACGCGAAAAGGAAAGGCCCATCTGCAGGGCCGCATTGCTGCAGGAATGCAGATCACATGGGACGCGAAACGCAGGACCTAAGGGCACTCTTGATTCTAATCCTCGACTTTGTGGGACTTCCGGCTGGACCAGGACAAACTGGCCAAACCCAGGGACACGCGATGGGGGGCGACCCTCCTCGATACTGGTGCGTCCTACTATAGCTCCCCCAGGGGGAGGGGATCCCCGAGTTCCCCCTCTCTTCTGAGCGGCCCGATGCTTGTTGGGCGGGACCTCGGGGAACTGGGGGGCGGCAATGATGGGCCCATGTTCCACCACCACTACCAGAATAGGATAGGGAGGAGAAGGAGGGGGAGGAGGAGGACGAAGAGGAGGAGGAGGAGGAGGAGGAGGAGGAGGAGGAGAAGGAAGATGAGGAGGAGAAGGAAGAGGAGGAGGAGGAGGAGGAGGAGGAGGAGGAGGAGGAGGAGGCGGACCTCCTCGTCCTCCCTTCTCCCCCGTCCTACATGTGGTAGCCGTGGTGGGAGACTTGCCCATCAGACGAGGCGCTCGTGGAAGCGAGGTCCGCCTGGTCCGAGGCCGTCGCTCACCCGGCGATCGAGTCGGGAGCGGCCAAGAGGGGGGTGTCCAAGAGGGGCGGGTGCAAATCATGACCGGCGGCACGTGCGCGGCCCAGCGGGGGGGCCAGGGACGCCATGAAACAAGGAGAGGCGCCACGAAATCTGGGGAAATCTCATGGCCCCCGCCATGATATCCCCCCCCCCCCCTAGTCATCACCCCCCTCTTTTCCGCCCCCGATCGAGGGAGCGAGCGGTCTGCGCCGACCTCCGCGCCGCCCGGGCCCCATGGAGCACTCCCGCGCCGGGGCTGAGAGCTGCCGCAGGCTCCCGCCGCAACCCTCCTCCTCCTCCTCCTCCTCCTCCTCCTCCTCCCTCCTCCTCCTCCTCCTCCTCCTCCTCCTCCTCCGCATTCTCCTCCTCCTTCTCTTTTCCGCCCCCGATCGAGGGAGCGGCCTGCGCCGACCTCCGCGCCGCCCGGGCCCCATGGAGCACTCCTGCGCTCGGGCTGCACCCGGGGGGCCTCCATGGGCCGCCTCGGGGCCACCCCGGGGCAGCCGCGGAGGCACCGCCGCGGCGGGCTTCTGAGGTCCCCCTTGGGGCCGCCTCGTGCCGTCGGGCCCTCCTCCTCCGCCTCCGCCCTCCTCCTCCTCCTCCTCCTCCTCCTCCTCCTCCTCCTCCTCCTCCTCCTCCTCCTCCTCCTCCTCCTCCTCCTCCTCTTCCCCCTCCTCCTCCTCCTCCTGCCACGAGCACTGGGCCGTCAAAAGCCAGGGCGCGCTCGTCAGAAAGCGTGGGCAAACCCGAGCGCTGGCGAACTCGGGTCTTCCGCTTCCCCGAGAAACGAGGAACCACGCCACCTTTTTCGGGGATGGACAGACCCCCCTTTAGTAAAACGTGGTTTAGTGAAAACGACCTGAGGCCGTAACCTGGCGGGCGCAAGCCTGGAAAATAACGGCCACGGCGCCATCTCGAGAACCGAAAACGGACAATTCACTAATCGACATGTCACTGTTGGGGGTTCTGTCCACCCCCGACTTTTGGCCCCAAAGCCGCCCGGCCAGGTACACGAGGGACGCCAGAGAAGCAGCCGTGGAATGACCTGAGTAACAGCGAGCCCCTTGCGAACACGACCTGCACCTGTTCCGAATGTCGGCGTCTTGATCGTAAGCATCCAGAGGTCCGCATGGATTGCTTGGATCGGCGCTGGATCCCACCTGGTGGCGCCTTGGGCACGGCGCTCCCAGCACGCTTCGTGCGCCATGCAGGGGGGGGCGGCGCCAATCCAAGATACCCGCGCAGAGCTCCGACAGCGCATGCTTTTGGAATTCGTCCTCCTCAAAAGATGCAGCCCAAGCTGCTACTAGGTAGGGCAAGTCCTCCTACAGGTGGGTCTTGGAAGAATCTTTTGCTTTCGATCGACATCGTCATAAAGCAATCAACGGGGAGCACCGAAAATCGCCCCCCCCAGACTATTCTCAACTATTCTTGATCTTCCTCCTCTAGAGGAACATGCCCGACTTGAAGCTGGTACCAGGCGCAGGCACAGCACCTGGGCGTGAGAAAGCTGGGGGGGCCACCTCCGGGCCTGAGAGGCTCGGTGCCACGAGAGGAGCCTCGGCCTGCAGCCTGGGGACCCCCCTCGCGGGGCACCCGCTGCGAGGGCCCTCGTTAGGCAGGGGGACACGAGAGCAGAAACTTTCGGAGGTCCTCGCTGATCTCTAGGCCCGGCGCCGGGCCCCCCTCCCTGGCGCGCGGAGCGCTCCAGGGCGCCGCCAGGGGGGCCAAGCGCATGTAAAAGAGATCCGCGCGGAGCGTCTGACAGCTTGTGTGAATGCAGCTGCCGCTCCTGCGACGCTCGCGGCTCGGAGTGCACAGCGCGGCCACACGAGGCCACAGGCGCGCGCGCGAGCCCAAGAGAAATCTGGGGCCGGTGCTGCTGCGGGGGTTGCGCCTGCTGAGACTGCGGCGGCGGCTGGTGCTGCGAGTGCTGCGGCTGCCCCTGGGGAAGGGGGCAAGATAGCGGAGGAGCAGCAGCAAGAGCAAGAGGGACCCGGAGCCTCGGTTTCGCACGCCGGGCAACTCACAGCTCCCCGCCCACGGTCATTAGGAGACCAGAGCAACCCTTGGGCGGCATCGCATGAAGTGGCCTCCACAGCCAGGAACAGCGAGAGGAAGGGATGGGGCGGGGTGGGGTAGGGGAGCAGGGACCCCCAGCATGGAATCCATGGGTTGAGCCGACCCGACTCCCCCATCAAATCTGCCAGGGTCGGTTGGAGAACTGGCGCAATCGCCAAGGCTGACGTCGATAAAACTTAAGTGTCCCCATCCACTCGCCTCCCCGCCTTCCCTGCCAAATACAATCAGGGAGGAGTGTGGACGGGGAAGGGGAGGGGGAGCGGAAGCAGAGAGAGGGTAGGAGGAGGGCAGGGAGAGGGGCACGCGGAAGAAGGAGAGCGGGACGGGGGGGGATCACGGGAGGGACGGGGGATGGGAGCAAAAGAGAGGGAGCATATGGGGGCGGGGAAGAGGGAGGTAGCTGAGGCAAGTAAGGTGCTCTCGCGCCATATCCACTCAAGAATGGTTCCGAGATCCTTCCCAGAGTCTAACCTTGGTGCCGCGATAAGCGACCCAGAAACAAACAACAAACATGTCTGCCCATGTGGGCCGCAAGTTGCCAACTCTCCGTCGCTAGACGGTCAATCATGAGCCAAGTCTACATCGCAGAGCGGGGGTGGGGCTGCGAGGGGGCATGCCACTCCTTGACAAAATCTTGCCCCGATTCGTGGCAGCCGCGATCGCCGAGGCGACCTCCAGACCCGATCCAGCGAAGTGCGCTCCGGAGCCGGGTATCACGCAGCGAATCCTGGTCCGCTTTTCAAGGCTGACCTAGCCGTGGCGATGAGAAGCCTCCGGGAGACCCAGACTGTCTGGGTCTTCTGGAGGAAGAGGAGAATGAGGAGGAAGAAGATGGAGGAGGAGAAAGAGGAAGATGATGAGGCGGAGGAGGAAGGAAGAACCCGAACCCCCGACGTCGTGATTTTGTCACACAAAGTCGACCCCCAGAGGTCTGGACCCCTTCGGCGGGACCTGTTCTGCATTCTGAGTCGTTTTTTGGTCCCGAGGCCCAGTGAGGGGCCCCGGAAGCCGAAAATAGCTAAAACCCTCCCGTCGCATTTTTTTCACAACGCGAGCGGGCCTGGGAGGAGGAGGAGGAAGAGGAGGAGGCGGCGGAGGAGCAGGAGGGAGGACGGAGGAGGGAGGATGGAGGGGGGAGGGAGGAGGGAGGAGGGAGGAGGGAGGGAGGGAGGAGGGAGGAGGGAGGAGGAGGAGGAGAAGCAGGAAGAGAGGCCTCGATCCCCACCCCTTCGGCTGAGCGCCTCCGGCCACCGCTGCTGCGCCGGCCCTGCGGCGGCCCCGCCCGTCCCAACGCCCAGGGCGCTGGCGAGGGCGCTCGCGGCGCTGTTGGCCGCCAGGCCCGAGCCTGCGCCTCGACATCGGCGACCTCCTGCTTATCCTCCTGCTCCTCCTTGTCCTGCTCCTCCTCCTCCTCCTGCTGCTCCTCGTTCTCCTGATGCTCCCTCCTCCTCCTCCTCCTCCCTCCTCCTCCACCTCCTCCTCCTCCTCCTCCTCCTCCTCCTCCTCCTCCTCGTCCTCCTCGTCCTCCACCTCCTCCTCCTCCCCCTCCTCCTCCTCGTCCTCCATTCCTTCTCCTTGAAAAAATTGCTCCCTGTCGCACCCCGAAGCCAGCTTTTCGGGCGGGACGGGGGTGTCGCCTGAGGCTTCCTCGCCACTTATGACTCTGAAGCTTGAACGTTGGCAAACAGCTTCACAGATGGAGGGCGGGTGGTTTTCAAAATGTGGCTCTCGTCTTAGCGCCGCGCACATTCGTTTTTAGCATTCGCAAGAATTTCGCGGATTGAGGGCGACCCGTTTTCAAAATGTGGCTCTCGCCCTAGCGCCGCGCACATTCGTTCTAAAAGGCTGCAATGATTTCACGGATTGTGGGCGACCCGCTTTCAAAATGTGACTCTCGCCTGATCGCCGCGCACAATCGTTTATGACAGTTGCACGGGTTTCACGGAGTCCCATGGTCAGCATACCAGGCATAGTGTTTTGGAAGGTTTCAGGATAATGCGGGCGCAACATGTACGTTGATTCGCGGTGCTGAAGTCCCAAGACTGGCGTTTCTGGCACGATTCAGGATCGTCAATACGCAGCGGTCAGGTTGATCCGTGGCGTTGGAATCCCGAGAACATTGTTTTGGCATGTTGCGGGGTCTTCAAACAGTTGTCTTCCAACGAGGCAGTTCGCTAAATGCACATGAATCGCTGTATGGGCCTGTGAAGAGGGAGCTTGGAGGGAGGGTTTATTCCAACATCGTTGATGACCCTTGGGTTTAAACTGTTCCCTCTCCTCCTCTTTCTCCTCCTTTCTACTCCTTTCTCCTCATCCTCCTCCTCCCTCCGGCGAAAAAGCCTTCTCTTCTGCATGCTCTGTGGCGTCTGAAACTCAAGCAGCCCAAAAAAACATAGTCATTCACCTTCGGAGGTCCACGCGGAATGATTGAGTCGGCTCTTCCTCCTCCTCTTCCTCCTCCTCCTCCTCCTCCTCCTTCTACTCAGTGGACGCTTACGGAGTCGCTGGTTTATCGATCTCAAATGCAGCGTCTCTAGATCCGCACCATCATCATCATCATCATCATCATCATCATCATCATCATCATCATCATCATCATCATCAGCGTCAGCATCAGCGTCAGCATCATCATCATCATCGTCATCATCATCATCATCAGCATCGTCATCCTCCTCCTCCTCCTCCTCATCATCATCATCATCATCATCATCATCATCATCGTCATCGTCATCATCGTCATCATCATCAACATGAGCATCATCATCACACTCTACTCTCCGTTTCCTCCTCCTCCTCCTCTTCCTGTGCCTGTGTTAGCCAAGATCCTCCTCCTCTTCATCCTCCCTCCCCCTCCCCCTCCGCCTGCTGCTTCTGCTCATAGCCCTTCTGCCTCGGATCCTGCTCTTCATCCTTCCCCCGCTGCGCTTCGAGCCGCTCAGAGCGCCCCCGCCTGCCACGCCCCCCTGCAAGACAACACTAAAGGTACGAACCCCAACTGGAGTCGAGGCCTGGGGGGGCGCTCATTCCTGGCAGGATTGCAACAACCAGTGCGCGACAACATATGACTTTACTCTGACCCACATACGCATCCGCGCGATCTCGTTTTTGTTGTTGTTGTGGTGGTTGTTGATGTTGTTGCTTGTTTTTTTGTTTCTCTCTCTCTCTCTCGCTCTCCCTCTCTCTCTATATATATATAGAGATACATAAAGTTACAAAGATACTTACAATCATCATACGCAAGACTGCACTGGCGCTTCGTGTCATGCACCTTGCCCCTTCAAATTTCGCATACAGGGGATGACACAGAGAACGAGAGCAAGAAGAAAAGAGCAATGGGATACACTGTTAAGCAGATGTCCTTTCTCCCGATGATGTTGCCGCCCTTCTCCTCCACTTATTCATTCTTTCAGAAATCATACATATGATTCCCTTTACCATTCTCGCCTTTCCCTACGCTTCCCCGTCTTCTTTTTTCAGCTTGTCCCGACCATCCTGTGGTGTTGGATCCTCATGTAACATCCGGAGCGCCCTGCGTCACTCCTCCTCCTCCTCCTCTTCTTTTTCTCCTCCTCCCCCTCCTCCTTTCGTCCTCACCTCATCCCCCCCTCTCTCCTTCCATCCCTGCATCTGCCCTCCGCGCGCCATTTCGGCACACCGCTCACACGCTTCGCGGCCCGATTGAGAGCTCCACCGAACGCCCCTGCGGAAGGCTCCATATGGCGGCGCCGCACCGAGTTCGGCACATCTCTTCACGCGTTTCATGGCCCCATTGGGAGCTCCACCGAACGCCACAACGGCAGGGTCCGCATGGCCGTGCCGCACCGAATTCGGCGTATCCACCACACGTTTCGTGGCCCACATCGTGCCTCTCCTTTGTCCCACCTGCCTTGCAGTACTTGCATCCACATATGGTTAGGCCCTTCGCCAAGATATACACCAAATAAGTTTGCCTGCTACTGTCCTGAATCGAACCCTAGAAAACTGGTCCACGGCTCACGTCTTTGCATTTTGCCCCTTATACACGTCCTCTGTTGCGCATGCATTCCTCAGGACTTCTTCCGCTAGCGGTCAATGTTGCGCCTGGCTTCGTATGTTGCGCCTGTCATCCCCTGCTATCCGCATGTCTTCCTCTGTATCCGCATGGTTTCCTCTGTGATCCCGCATGGTTTCATCTGTATCTGCATGGCTGCCTCTGCTATTACAGTGGCTTCTTTTGGTTATTCCAAAAGCGTCCCAACAATCGCCCAGTACTCGTCGAACAATAAGTAGAGTCGAATGAAAAAGGGTCGAGCAGAATAGAGCAGAGAAGAGTAGGTGACTAGAGGAAAGCGCGGATTCGAATATATATATATATATATATGTATTAAAGCATACAAGAGAATACTATAATAGAGCAACGCGTAACAATATCAAATAGAGAAGATAGGAGCCGGAGCAAAGTAGAGTTCAGTATAGTCGAGCTACACAGGGAGGGGTAGATAAGAGCAGAGTGCACCAGAGGAGTGTAGAGCAGGAGTAGAGCAGCAGTAGAGCAGGTCGGTAGGAGCAAAACATTAGTAGGGTAGACAGAAAATAGAATCGGACATAAATTATGAGAAGCGTAGAGCAGGTTCGAGCAAAGTAGCGCAGGCAGGGTCCGGCAAAACAGAATGGGGTATATTGTAGAGCAGAGTCGGGCGCAGCAGAATAGAGTCGGACATAATCCACCACTGTGCCTCCACGGAATGGGCGCGTTAGAATGCTCGTCTGTTTTCTCTAGGTTTCCCATGTTTTCAATGCCCCCCCCCCCCCACCCTCGGAGCACGCGTGGTCGGGAAATCGCCCCGTACACATTGTTGTCCAGCGGTCTTTTCGGTCTCCAAACGCTCAAGATGGCCTTCAGGGCGGCTTCTCACACAACCAAGACGAAACCGAAACGGCTCCAGATGGCGCAAGACAGCTCAAGAGGCTCTGGAGACGTCCTCAAGACTTAAGACGGACCGAGAGGCCCCCAAGACGGTCCAAGAGGGCAACAAAATGCCCTCCAGGAAGGCCCATCATGAGTCTCGATTCGTTTCTGGCCACCTTGGGGCCCTGTCGGGCTGTGTTCGGGCTCTGTTGGACTTTTGGGAAACCCTGTCGGTCCGTGTTGGCACGATTCTTGGAGCCTCTCGGGTGGTCGCGGAAACCCAGAGTACCAAAGAACTGCACATCCCCAAATCATGCAAAAGCCTTTGGCACATCAATCTACTAATGCGTTTGAATGGCCTCTCGGAGCTCTCCTTTGGGTCGTTTTCGTCCGCATTGGAAGTGTCGGGGGCCGCTTGGGTCTCTCATGAGCCCGTTTGGCCGCCCTCCTAGCTGCGTCAGCTTTTAGCTAAGCCCAGCAGGAGCGCCCAAAAGACCCGAAAGCCCAGGGCACACCGTGCAAAGGCGTCCAGGGAGTCCCTTGTACCAGACCAAGAATCCACGGGGCGCGGTTTGTCTGGGGGGGCACCCTGGCCACCCGGATGGGTCAACATCAGTGCATGACAAATACGGTGCTTCTGACGCTCTCAGCACTCATGCACATACATCATTGCCTGCGTTCGCAGAGCCTGCGCGGGCGAACGCCTTTCGTCACCCGAGCTCAGAATCGCGCCCGGGCTGCGTGCGAAAATCGCGCACGGCTCAACAGCCCTCCATCACTGTGGGCTGCAGCCTTTGCCCCTGCCGCCGCCTTCGCCCCAACTTCCACCGCCGCCGACGCCGCCGTCGCCAACTGTCCGCCGACCCGTTATTGATGGGGAGAGAAGGCGCGAGAAGACTGGCCGCCCCCTCCCCCCGCGCACCAAGATGTGTCAACATCGCGGGCTAGGGGGCCGGGGGGGGCGAGGAATTGGGATGGGCGGGCCGACGAGCTCTTCAACGCGTCACTGGGGCCTGCTGTTAAAAAGCATTCGGAATGGCCAACCAAGCCTTCGATATATCCAAGTGTCCCGAAATCGCCACCCACATGGCAGAAAATTGCCGGAGAAAGCGATCAACGCTACGCAATAAGCGCCCACGGCCCCGCGGGGGCAACGCGCGGCCTCCGCGACAGATACCCTTTGCTCCCAGACGGCACCGGCGCACTTTGCCGAGGGGCCCCGCAAGCCACAAGCATTCAAAATCTCGCAGATGGTTAAATGTTCGCGCGTGCATGACGTCCCGACATCGCCGCTGCTCGCAGAAACGGGAGCGGAAAAGCGAACATTGCGCTCGCGCGCGCGGGGGGGGGGCGCTGCGGGGGGCTCGAATCTAACTGAAATGGCAGCCTTTTTTTTCCTGGGCGCCAACCGCCACGCCCCCAATCTCATTGAGATCGAACAGTCTTCCGGCCAGCGCGGAGCT